ATACCAATCAAACGACCAAACAAACAAACAAACATAGAAACCAATGAAACAAAAAAATAATCTAACAAATCAATCAAACAAACAAACGAACCAATCAAACAAACAAACCAATCAATCAAACAAACAAACTAAAGAACAAACAATCAAACAAACAAACAAACTAACTAACAAACTAACGAGCAAACAATCAAAGAAACAAACCAATCAAACAACCATAAAAACTAAAAAACAAACAAACAGACAAACCCATCAAACAAACAAACAAACTAACTAACGAAGAAACAAACTAACTAACTAACAAAGAAAAAACAAACAAACTAACAAAGTAAATAACGTATAAACAATCAAACATACAAACCAAATAAACAACATACCAAACGAACAACCATACTAACAAAACGAACAAACAGACAAACTAACAAACAAACAAACCACCAAAGTAACATTCAAACAAACAAACAAACCAATCAAAAAAACAAACTAACTAACAAACTAACGTATAAACAGTCAAACAAACAAACCAATCAAACAACCAAGCAAACGAAGAAACAAACAAACGAACAAACAGACGAACTAGCAAACTAACAAACAAACAAACCAATCAAACAAACGAACAAGCAATCAAACAATCGAACAAACTAACTAACAAACAAACCAATCAATCAAACAAACATACAAACCAACTAACACACAAACAAACCAAACAAAGAAACCAACCAAACGAACAAACAAACAAAGAAACCAATCAAACAAACAACCTGACAAATAAACAAACAAAGAAACTAACAAACATACAAACACACCAATCAATCAAACAAACAAACCATCTAACAAGTCATATCCGTCATATCCCTCATAAGTCCCAGTTTGGTGGCAGAACGTCCAAACCAATAGAAGAATCACATCACGATATCCACGGTAACTAGAGTTTCTATGTCGGATATGTAGATTGCTACGTTATCAATGTTAATAGTTTTCTATCTTACCGACAACATTTGCAGCCACAGACTTAGGATCCGTACAAACATTGCATCTTGTGAGCTTTCCTGTCTCAGATTTGGTGAGCTTTAGAGTACCCTAACCATTTCTTAACGCGATCAGCATTACCGATAGTTAAAAAAAAAATAGGCACGTTAGCAAGAAGCGAATATCCTGTATATTTCATTTCTACTAGGAGTGCTGAATATTATTTAAAAAATAATTTAGAAATTTACATATTATTATAAATGGTGGAAATAGTATTTATGGAAAGTGTACTACAGAAATGCGATACAAAGCACAGTAATTTTAATGGACAGTTGAGCAATTATTTGCACTAATTATATAAACAATGATCGTACATATAAAGTAATAGTTTCATACATTTTTTCTTGCAAATAGGACTTTACAACGTTAATAAGTTTTTAAGAGCTTTACAAGGATATTCAAGCAAATGAAAAATTTGTTTATGTCGTAGTCAGACGTAGTTCATAAGCTGACGGTCAATTCATGTAGAGTTCGCCATTGTACCAGTTGGCCATTTTTTACAGAGTCGGCAATTCAGACCCTGAGATATAGTATCTGTACTAGCCTTAGTTTGCGTTTGTGCTGAGAAGCTAAAATTTCTTAAATACCAGCAACAGTGGCCGCGACACGGAAGTGGTAATGAGGCTCCTGAAGCTCCATTTTTGGGTAACAAGATAATACATTAGGCACGGACTAAGTCTGTGCATTAATTATCAGGTTTATTTCTATACCTCGTCTGTGATAATAATTTACGTTGATATCTCGTTTGTGCTCCTCCGTGGTCGTTAGTTACTAGTTTCATCGTTTCCCCACGGATGACACCATTGTTTTCTTCTAGATTTTATCATCTGTTGGTATATTCGTTTACCAATTTCAGCGTTTTGCTACTACATCAAATGGCGTTGCTATCATATTCTATCGTCGAAATGATTCTTGTCACAATTCACGTTGAGTATATTCTATACAGTACTTTATGGATATCATGGCAAAAATCATTTGAATCCGCATTTTCTTCCAGTTTAGATCTAATTAATAATTTTGTCCAAATTTTAAAGTTTATATTTCGGTATTTTGGTCTATCTTCGATATAAGATATATACGTAATAAATTGTAAGCATTTTGTTGCATGTATACGTAGCTCATGAAAATCTTTGAAATCGGACGAAACGAATTTGTTTCTCTCTCATAAAACATTACAATTTGTGTAATAGTATATATATATTATAATTGGTTATATGAAACTTTATAAAACAAGAGCAGTGAAAGAAAGTACACATTCAGAATCTTTTGAAATCTTTCGACATTTAAATTTCTCATCAATTTCTAATATAAAATACTAGTCTCAGAGATCGGTAGTTCGGTAAAAAAAGATATTACAATAATCTGCGACGTCTCGGAAGGATGGGGTTCCTAAGGGGAAGGCCAGATTCGTTCAGAATCCGGAATAAAGTCTCTCATGTGTCTTCAATACTTTGTATACCTTATTTATTTTTCTTTTTCATCTTCGTATAATAATCATAAACGTACAATTTAAAACAATAGTGCTCGTGTGTGAGTGTGTATGTTGTGTACGTGTATGCAATGTACAGGATAATCTTTAAGCTATAATACAGTTCGAAATGAAATACAAATCAATAAACTATTACGTTAGGTAAACCTTTCTCGATCTTTTTTTGTTTTGATACAATTATTTTCACTACTGAATGACAATGTTCGTTCTCATCCCGACCATTCTCGCAGGTGTATAATACCTTTATAATCCGCATGTCCCCCACTAAAAATTTTTGATCATTTTACGCGAGCTTGGCCGCGAGTGTTTACGCAAAGAGCCTCGACTTTTGTGTGCATCGTCCCGTTCATTAAGAACGTCGTCTATCTACAGTTACCATTTTTACCGCCCCGTTTTGTTTTTGAAACCTCGTCACACGTCACGTTCGCCGCCTGTCTAAACGCGTCGTTACGTTTTATTCCCCGGTTAATTTCTCTCGTAAGTCGCTTCTGTAAAATATTCATTATTATGTTTACGATATGATTTTTCCTTCGATTCGCCGGATGGTCCTGCGCGTGAACCTCCGCCCCGCTTTAGCGTCGTCCACCACGAACCCTATATTACAAATCTTCCGTGTCCCCGAGACTGGGTCCTCGCCTAGAAAGCCGTTTCCGCTTAAATAATTAAAGCTATCTGCTATCTAGAGCCTATTCGGTATCTACAGAAGAACCTATTGCGTTTCTCGCATGAGAAACAAAAAAGAGGAGAAAACTGTGAAAAAGAGAGATGGATAGAGGGTGTGATGCGAACGGAGGGGTGAGGAGGAGGAAGAGAGATGAATATTCGGAGGGGGTGCTGGCGTAAAAAAAAAGGTAAAGAGAAAAGAAAGAGGAAACAAAAGAAACCATCGATCGTCCCCGAGGGAGTCGAGTTTCATACGATTTGCTCAGCTGCACGATCGGCGACGATCGAGCCTCGATCCTCGCGTCGCAGCCCGATGAGATCGACGAGATCGTTCGATAGTATTGTTAACGCTGAGATCCTTTCTGAACTTGGTTGAACTTCGATCGAATTTCGTTGATTCTCGTCTCATCGACAGCATTGGGCCACGAGCGACAAACTAATACGATAAGGATATTTAGAATAATAATAATAGTTAGAATAATAACCGTACGAATAATAATAACGTTACGAATAATGGTGGTGGTCGGGGATGATAAATAGATTGTGGTGCCGATGACGATGCCGGTTCCCCCGGGAAAAGTAGATTCGAAAGAAAGAAACAGACTGTCGGATCACTGGTCTCTCAATTAGCAATGCCCTTTTTTGTTAAGTGTTCTTCTCACTGGTTGGCTGTCTCGCTCGTTATCACGCGTTCGCTCGGTCTCGCTCTTTCACACACCCCCCTCTTTATTTCGTTCATTCATTCATTCGTTCATTTATTCTCTCGCTCGCACGTTCACTTTCTCTCTGTAGCCATTGTTCGTTTTAACTGCGGACTAGAATTTAATCGAAGATTAAAATTTAATCTGGTAAATACAAGTTTGATTCGTAATATCGAGGATAATTTTTTGCCCCTTTCACGCTCGTCCACGCAAGAGAAAAAAAATATTGGAACACACGCATACGATGGTGTCACTCTGCACTCGCTTTCATATTCTGTCGCTTTCTCTTTCTCTCTCTCTCTCTCTCTCTCTCTCTCTCTCTCTCTCTCTCGCTCGCTCGCTCTTTCGCTCTCAGACTTCGATAGTGTACGGTAATTTTTTTTATCCATAATTATATGTTCTTCTGCCGCGGCCGCATGATTATCAGCCTTAACGGTGCGTTTCCAAAAACTTTGCGCTTCTCCGCCTCGCATTTTCGTCCCCGTCGTGCTTATTTTCATCTCTGGGCTCGGTTTTTGTTACTTAATCGTCCGAAAAGCATTGGGTTTCCCTCTTTGATCCGACGATTGGAAGCTCAGCGTTAAGTCTTTTGCTCATCGATCGCGTTCAGTTCCGCGTGGATATATCGCTATTAGAGAGTTAAGTGTGGTAATTAAGTATAATATACAAGATTCGTGTACGTGTAATGTTCTCGTAATGCTTCCGAGTCTCTTCTCTTTGTACAAGTTATTTACAAGGTTTTGGATGCGAGCTGACGGTGGCACGCTTTTAACACCCGGTTTAAAGATGCCGGCGCATCTTCGCAGCGCGGGGAGAATTTATTTATGCTTCTCTCTCTCTCTCCTTTCTCATCCTCTCCCACTCTCACTCTCTCTCTCTCTCTCTCTCTCTCTCTCTCTCTCTCTCTCTCTCTCTCTCTCTCTCCCCCCCCCCCTCGC